ACTTTATTTATTAGCTGCCACTGTAGAAGGCTGTAGTAGCGCATTTCAAGCCTTTGCCTCTTGCATTCTGCTCAGAAGTCACCATATATGGCGAGTCTACATATAGGCCTGCTAAGACATCTTCTCTTCCAAAATAATGAAAATCTACTAGGCAGAGTCAGACAGATCGTGGAAGCTGGGAAGGGCTTTAAAATACTTCATGTCTGTTCCACGTAAAACCTGATAAAAAAATCTGGCCGTGTTTGTGAAACTGAAGGGAAGGGTGGTTTTTTTTTGGCATTACCATAAACGTTTTTGCACATTGGGACTAAAGCTGTAGGCGTACAATGGCAGGCGATATGCATGATGTGACAGTACAACGTGGATGTCGCATGTAACAAGAAAACTGTAGGGCACAGGACGACACAAGTTGCACGTGGATATTTGTTTTTGTCACCTCGGCTCTTTTTGGATCTACGTTACGGGAAAATACGCTGTTCGTAATAATGGAAATTGCATGCCTACAAACTCTGGTCCAAAGATTTTAAAACTAAAACTAACAACCTGCAAAATGCCCTAAATTGATCGATGATGAGGATGAAGAACGACATGCATAAAAACCTCTGTGCGTTGAAAGTTACAGCAAAAGTAGGGAATATGTGGTTAGGCGTGATGTGTGTCAACTACATTATTCCCAGAAAACATGTAAATTGACAAAAAAACAGTGGACCCCTGCATAATGAATTTAATTCATTCCATGAAAACCTTTGTTATGTGAATCCAGGAAATACATATTAAGGGCCTACTTCGTTGCAAGGCCATCATAAGTTGGCCTCTTCGACTTTAAAACATAGTTTATAATATTTAAACACTAATTTTTGACAAACTTTATAAGAGCATGGTAAACGATTAAAATTAATGGAATCATGTGAAAAGAATCGATAAATAAAGCATAAAAATGTTACAGTAAAACAATTCTTACTTCAGGGGTTGATGGAGAAGTTAGGGTAGGAGAAAATTAATTTTTGGAAGGAGAATTATCCGTGTGATGTTGTAATCAGTTTGTTATGCAGGAAGAATTCGTTGTGTCAGTCAGTTGAGACTTGTGGGAGGCAACTCATTAAGAAAAATAATTTTTATCCAATGATTTTTGTTATGTGGGGTTCCACTGTATTATTATTCTGCTTCATCAGCCTTCATTATTCATAGCTCACGGGCAAACCAACAGCTTTTAGGAGGTGTAACATTTGCAACAGAAGATATTAACAGCATGTCTTGTTCAACCATCTTCAGAGCATTTCACGTGTACTGGCTCGGATTAAATATGTCGAATCACTGACCTACTTTCATGTTGAGGTTCCTACCACTGTAATACTCGTTGGCTAAACAGTTGTGTATGAGAGTGATTGATTGATTGATTGATTGATTGTGTATGAAATTGAAAGCCAACTCCAAACTGAAACAAGAGGGCAGTGAGATTGCTAAGGCCTGCCAGACGGGAAACTACGAAACTCTGAATAGTAGGGTATTGTATCTCGCTGTGTTATCAGTTTTAAGTGTTTATAGCTGAATTCTTAGTACATGTTTTATATAACCTTTATATCTCAAATTTAAATATGGTAAACAAAAGAGTAATGAATTTGTACAGACAATCATTATGTTATTAAATCTTCAAAATGCTCTTTGTTGCAATGCCATGTCTTAATAAATTATAAAAGTGTGGCCATTTTAACAAAAGGAGGTGCAGTGAACACTAACGGAGAATTTGAAATTATCTAGGTCACTGCAGGACGACATTCGAAGTTCCCAAAACAGATGTCATTATTATGTCTGTTGCCCTTATAAGGGCCAGTACATTTCCTGTGATGTGTATTTGTAGTTAGGCAAATGGAAATGGGTTTTTCCATTATGTCATGACATTTTTAAAATATGTATACAGTGCAAAGATATTAATTAATAACTGAATCACCAACTTTAATTATTTACTTTGTTTAATAGCATTCCCCTGAAAGTTTAAAAACTGCTTCGAAATATTTTTAGTTCTCTCGAAGTAACCATTTGTTTTTGGTTATGTGTTTTTAACGTTCTAGCTTGTGCAGAGATCACGTTTTGGCTTGTCCGTGTCTGTCACATTTTCTGTAAGGGTTCTTATTGTTATACATCACTGGGACTTCAGATCACCTAAGATGTAACGGTGGCCTGTGGGGGGTCACACTGACCTCAGGTCACATTGGTGTAATAACAGCTTGCGTTATGTGACACGAAGAACAGCTTTGGAATATCAGTGTGCTCCATAGATAACGTATTTTCAATCTTGGCCCACATAATATTAAAATCACATAGAAGGTCACATTGGTGTAATAACAGCTTGCGTTATGTGACACGAAGAACAGCTTTGGAATATCAGTGTACTCCATAGATAACGTATTTTCAGTCTTGGCCCACATAATATTAAAATCGCATAGAAATGTCTGAAGACACCAAAAGAGCTTTTGCTTATCTGTCACCCTTTTCATAAAATGCACACCCCCTTTCATTCTTATTTCTTTGGGATATTTATATTAAAACAAAGAGTAAATAATGAAAATGTTATTATTCTGCTTATGTCATTTTATCATAACTGTTCATATGATATTCAAAAGCATGATTTTGAGGTCGTGCAGAACGGCACGACCTTCACATCAAATTTCATCCCAGTCAGTCCAGTAGTTCTGAAGTAGTACCAGCTGGACAGACAGACACGACCAGCCCATAATGTGTTCTCCCTATACACTTTGTGGAAAGAATGCATAATACGAATGGCCACATTAATCAGATATACTCTTTTTATTTATTTATTTATAATAAGAGTTTGAAAAGTAACCATGTCAGTTACTGAGAATTAGCCCTCTTTATCGTCTTCACACAAAACGTTCTCCAACTTTCTTTTCTTAAAATTTACTCCGTATAAACGCTAAGTTATTGGTGATTACGGACAGTGGTAAGCATGGAAATGAATTTCGACTTATCAGCTAGTGCTTGTGTGTTGTGCTCCAGGTTCTGTTGTTTTGTTCCTTATCAAGTTCCATACCAAAGATTTGTGTGAGTGTATGTATATGTTTGTGCATCTGTAACCAAAGTTCTGTTCTACAGACTCAGTTACCTGCTGCTGTTCAGAAATCATAGATGATATTAGACCCTGCCACCAAAGGTTCGGAAGGTTCTCGTGGTGATGGGGATGGAGAAGACCGTCTTCCGGGATGTACTAAGACGTTGGCCAACGGTTCAGAGGAGCTTCCTGCCTGTTTAACCGTGACTTCTTCCACAATCAGGTGATGACACCCTGATTATGGAGGCAGTAAGGTCCCCTGAAATGTCGGCCAGTACTTACCAATTTGCACGGCGCAACGTCCTGGAAGATGGCCGTCTTCACAAATATAATATCTGTTCCTCGGTACAAATTTGGCCTTATGAACCCATGGTCAGGGGGATGTTCAATGTGAATACATAATATACCATTGTAACTTTCAAGTAACAACTGTATTTTTAGTAAATAATACCGTATTTTCAACATTACAATTAATTAAATTTATCAAAATTGTCCAAAAGAAATGTTTTTTTTTTCTCCCTGCAATAAATTTGGGGTATAGAGGCACAAATTTGTCTAACTGGTTGTAGGACGGACATTTAAAGTTCCAGTAACAGATGTGAATATTATCATGTCGTGTTGTAGCTCGCTAGTTGTTTCAGTTGATGTCATTAGGGATGTTCTGGTACCCCACGAAGCGACGTCTCTGTATCCATGCCACGATCAGGCCCACACAGTAGCTGGTGAAGCATAGCAAGATGATGAAGGCCAGGTGTGGCATGTAGTGCTGCAGTCCTGTAAAAGAAAAAAACACTTCTTCCTGAGCAGAATGCTAGGACATCTCTGCTGGTCATCATCACTTTTTTCTTTGGCACTGCATAATCTCTGAAACCACAGTTGTGTGTGTTTTAAAGGTTTCCGTGGAAGCTGCAACATCCAATCTCCATGTTAAAAAAAATTCTTGGGCCTTTTATTTTGGAGAATGCTGGTTGCTAATGAGATCTCCCTCTACAACATTTTCTCAGAGAAATATTTGGATATACCTAAAATATTTATTGTTGTTTGATTTGGGCATGAGGTACCGCTCTCTTCCCGTAAGGGAACAACAGAATTGTTGGTATTTTAAAAAGAGTGTCAGAAAGAGAAAAACATTCACATCTAAGAAACAAGCTAAATAAATGAAAAACGAAGAAAATCATGTATTTAATAATTTATATTCCTTGTAGTGAAGTAAGTTGAAGAAGTTACAGTGTTACGGGTATGTCGAGGTCGAAAGCATTGTTTATGGAACTTCGCTCACTGTAAATGACCACGTGGACAGGCATTTTGGTACATATTTTAATACCAGAAAGTTAGACTGCACTGTAATTTCCCAGACTGTTAAGATAAAGCCTCTTACCTTGTGTGTACAACTTTGTCCGTGGTACCACATTTACCGTGACATCCAGAACGTGTATTTCGCCCACAAAGCACGTGTAGTTACCACTCTCTGCCTGCGTGACATTTGTCACGTTCAGAATGTTGAACTTGTGTACCGCGACATGTGGCTCGTCTTCTGCCGATCCAGACGTGACCACAGCACCATTTTTGAGCCATGTCACCACATCCTTTGGAGTTGCCCTGCATAATCATCACCAGAATCATTATAAGCGTAATCACCACGCATACCATGGTGAGTCATTTGTTTCTTGACCATTCACAAGACAAAGTGTGGGGTTTTACTTACTTTGGACAGACGAGGGTGAGATTTGAGCCTTCAGCCACTGTATATTGTCTTTTGTAATGCAGCTGCTTGCCCTTAAACCTCTGGCTTTCGGCATCTGGAAGAAATATTAATTGTATTAAGCTCTCTGGAGGCTTCCTCAGTCAGACCTGAGTTGAGTTCGTGTAGTGAAATAACTTGCCTTTTGTGCAATTTCCCATGCATGCTTCAGCGTGTATGAATTCTGGTACCATGCTAGTGACTGCACTGATGTTGGGAAAGACTTTGGCCAACAGCTTAGAGCGACATGATAGCTCATACACATTGTTTATCAGGTGCTGCTTCTCAGCTTCTGGTCCAATATCGTGGACTGAACTCTGAAACAATGACTCTGTTTCAGTATTCATGGCAAGTGTCTCTGACCTCTGCCCATTCGAAGTGTGACAGCATTGTTTCAGTATCAGGGACCTACAACTCACTGCTACATTTAAGTTACTATTACACACATTTCTCTCACT